AAAGTCTAGTTTTTGGCGCTTTTTGCCATTATTGCTCATTATTGAAAAAAAATTTCCTCTTAAACAATAGAATCTGCACAAATTTTCACATTTTTTTCTCTTTAAGAAATTTATTTTTTATTTTATACATGTGTCATGTGTACAATCTGGTCAAAAAGGGGATTTACGGATTTGATTTAAAATTTGTTTGGGTGCAGCCTTGGTTAATGTGTAGTCTCACTGTAAAACATAAATTTGTGACATCATCACTTCAGTACTCTATCAAGTAACTATTGACAAAGATAGAGTGCTCACACTAAATCCGTGAAACAAATACTAATTTTTAGCACTAAATTGTGATAATTAAACAATAGAAAACAAAGGATTCTGTATGAAATAGTACAAATTAGTACTATTTAATGTTCACGGTTTTAGTGTGTGCACTCTAAACAAAACACACATCTAGTTTGCATTGTTTGAATCCTCAGCGAAGTAAGGATACATTTTGCCTCATGAAAAACAATAAGCAAATTAGCAAATGTGTAAAGCTGTTTCACATACAGTATTAAGCTAAAAGAGAGTGACATTAGAGACTGTCAAGCACTAGCACAGGTGCACTTGCAATTATTGATCATGACGCCATTCATTGTATGACAAAAGGTCATAGCTAGCAACATTGCAGGTTACGTGATGAAATCATTGAATGCGATGTCTTTAGAAATTTAAATCCAGCTTCTTGAAGCATAACATGCAAGGTTGTTGAACAAATTACTATAGCTGCAGTGTTGTAGATATTGCACAATATTTGGTGGTTACTAAATGCAAATACTGGAAACTGACTACATTGGGAGGGGGGACGTTTGACCCCAAAAATGGTTCATTAAATTGTTGCTTTGGCTTCTATTGAAGTATTCATTGAAATGGTGAACTAAACTTTCATGAACGGACATGCTTATTTCTTTTGACATTGCAAATAGTAATAGTTCAAAATAAGTCTACACTTTAGCATCTTTAGACACTTGGAATATGATTATAAACGTTTTGTTTTTGTGAAATCTTATTTTTTCATTAAGAGATGATAAAATTCTGATCTTGGATTCAAGCTGCACTTTGACACTCTTCACCAAGTACTTTATTACGTTAACCCTAAAAAACTGTCTATGCAGCCTTTTTTGCTTTGAATGCTTCGTTTTTGACCAATAAATCTATAAAATGTAGTAAATTATTGTGGAGTACACACCATATATCTGTGAAACAAAACCAAAAAATGTATTGTCTAATTGCAGCTATTTTGTACAAAATAGTGGATGTTGCTACCTTTTTGTTTGGTTCATTCCTGAATGAATTCTTAGCTTTTTTACAGCTAAATAGTAGATTATAACTAGAGTAAAGGCATTGAACCATTGAAATAAAAAATACTAGTCAACGTGTAATAGTCAAATAAATACTTTTAAGCTCTATGTGGCGTAGTAATTTGTTTCACAAATATATGGCACACACTTTAAGTGTGCTTCATATTTATGTAAAGAGTGCACCTATTTCAACAAACGTTGTCATCGCCAAAGGTGATAGGCGAAAAGCGATAGAAGATAGGTCATTCCAAGATCAAAAAATAGCTGGCATAACTTATGTTTCTGCTTCTTATTTTTATTGTTGAAACTGATTTAATATTCTTTGTAATCAGTGAAACCATATCCATGTCAGAATGATCTATTGCCTTTGGTGATGAGAAGGTTTTTGAATTACGTGTATATTTGTGTAATAGTATTAGTACAAAATAGCACCAATTAAACAATTGAAAACAAAAGGATAGAGTGCAAACAATTAATCCGTGAAACACTAATTACTAAATAGTACAAAATAGTTCTAATTAAACAATAGAAAACAATGGAATTTGCATGAAATTGTGCTATTTAGTATTACTAAAGTTTCACGGTTATATTGTTTGCACTCAGATTCTTTAATTATAAGCAAAATATTTTCAGTTAAATGCTTATAGTTTAACTAAAAATGTTTGCATGTGTATGCATGCATTGTAAAATTGTTTCTAAAAAACTATAAAACAATAATAAAATTATAATAATTGAAATTATGTATTTACTCAAATAAGAAATAAATTTTGGTACATAATTTACCATTTACAGTAACTGGAACAGGACAAAAGCTCTAAATAACACCTCTGATAACTTATCTTCTTTAAATTGATTTCTGATGTCTCTGATTAAACTATCATGATTGTCATTCTATTTTTTTATAACTCACAAAGTAGAATCCAAGGTCAAACAAATGGAATTGGCAGCAAAATGCTGATTGAAGTTGGTAATACCTTCATGAACAATAGATACCTTGCAGCATGTTAAGCAATGTTGACATTCTTTTGTTTTGTCCTATAAATTGAGCTGCTTTGATGTCACATGCAAGCGACCTATAGACCATCACTACTCCTATGGTTCTCTTCAAACCTGGTATTATGTTAACTGTGATCTAGCAGTTCCTGTTTTAGGGGAATAAAATCACTATAGATATAGAGCATTCCATTAATAATTTTAAGCTATGAAATAGATTTTTAATCAATGGTAATCATTGTTTAGTCATTGGTAGATATTGATAACAATCTTTATTGAGGGAAGCTCTTTCACAAAAGTGATTTTCCAAAACACATGAAAGTTAGTCAATGCTTAGGACACAGGAAATCCAGAGCAACTCCTCTGTCCTGATGGACATTGTCACAGGAATACATCATGAGATCAGACTGTTTAATCATTTATAATTTCTTACATTTACTGATACCTTCCAAGTGCTAGGAATAAATGCAAGCTAAAGTACTAGAGCTATAGTACTACAATAATACATACTAGGCATCTAAAAGACTTTTCTCGCTTCTTAAAAGCACATAAACACCAGCTTGTAACCCTCCCATGTTAATCCACAAAGTTGACTTCACTTTCCACCACTGTGAAACCTGATTCAAAGCTTTTTTCATCACTTTCTTGTCCTGCGTCAGAATGATAGCACGGCCTGTTTTGGGTGGGCAGACCCTGGCCATTTCAGTCAAAGCCTTGGGGTAAAGTGTCCAGTTGAGTTGTCGTGACCCACTTTTCTTGCCAAATGGCATATCTGTTACCATAACGTCAACAGTGCTAGTCCTTAGGGGTAGGTTACATGTGTCCCATTGGTAGATATCTTGAGGGAAACATCTTTATATCAACAAATTAAGAGAATAGTGTGAATCATAGGCCCTTTCACATTATTGGAATCCTTGATTTGTCAATTAAATCTGTAACTAACTAGTAAAATGATAGACACTTCTTAAACTTAGTGAAATTGCAGACTTGATTTTGATAATGAAATGCCCCTTGAAACATAAACCAACTCAATTGTCAAATTGTTTAGTTCAAAATAAATGCTTTCAAGCATGTTAAAACAGATTTGTAGACAGAAAACTTCATCAAAAAGTGTTAATGTCATGCTGAATTGAAACAAAGAAAAAGAAGCCTGAATATATACAGTACCTCTTTTCATCTTCAGAGATACATTTCAAGTTTGCCAGAACCCTTGCAGTGGCCAGTTCATGATTATCACCACAGAAATGAGCTGCCATTGGCCAGTTGAGGACCCCCTCTATTAGTATGGACCCTCCCCCACACATGGGGTCACAGACTATATCACCTGCAAGTAGAAAGTTATTAAAGATATAGAGGAGTTTCACAGCATAGCCATGTTTTAGGACACAAACAAGGTTAGGCTTTTTGTATGTAAAATTGAAAGGGTAAAAGAGGGGGAGGGGGCTGAGGTAATTGGAGAATACTCCATTTTACGTTCAGTGACCACAAATATTTAGTTCCAAGCCCATGTTAGAGTTGCCAAACATGATAAAAAGTATAGATTTGTTATGCGAGAAAAATCCACCTTTGACTTGGAACTATTATTCATGGTCACTGAACAGAACTGTAGAATGAAGTATCCAGTAGATATTAGCAAGAGCAAGGGGGTAAAAGGCTATGGCCCTTCCCTTTCCCTGGTTCCCATGTGAATACAGTAGCGGAACAGAACATTAATTGTACTGACCAGGATTAATGCATGCCAAGTGTAGAAGACAATATGCTATTGAGGACTTCAGAGTTGTTGGACCAAAATGTTGTATATTTCTCTTTCCTAATGACTGCCGAGTAAGTGCAATACCAATTACCAAGGTGTTGTTAGTAATATTCAGCAGTACCTCAATATCTGCATTTGATAAGTCCACACGCCAGTGAAATAAATCATTTATTGCCCCTCCAAAGCTTGCCGCTGCCTCCATGGATGAAAAACTGTGCTTCGATCCTGTTCTAGCACAAGTTACACGAAACCTTGGAAGGGATGAAAAGTCTTCAGTTTTTGCTTTTTTAGAAACACTTTCATTACATGTACTATTATCATCAGCATCATCAGCACTGCTATCACGTGGTTTCTCAACTAGTTTCAAAGGTCCTTGATAGTTGGTACAATCCCTCCATATTTCAAGGCCTTGGTCCCAATTAATTTCATTCACAAGTTGACCGAACCTATTTAGTACAGTTTCCTTGTCCTCATCGCTGTTACTGATGCCAAAATCTTCGACCTTCTTCACGACTACGAACAAGTGCTCAACTGAACACAATTTATTAGCTTTTTCGACTGATTCTACAGGAATTTCAAAGTACATTTTTCCCTGCTTCTTCGTTGGTTTGCAGTTGAGTTTTTCCGTGCATTCTGAAGCGGCTATCGCTTCAAATCCGGTCACAACTGTCCCACACAAAAGACACGTGCGACACTCTTCGTCCACCATCTTGCCTTCGATTAGCCCTCGAATTATACACAGGCAGCCCAAGCAATAACTTTGAAAAGTCTCTTCTTTTCATAGGACGAATTAAAAACATAGAAAAAGAAGAAATGAAAAATTCAAAATATGTTTTATTTAGCATATAAGGTCGTATTTTAGCGTTTTTCTTCCCTTTTTAAGCTGCCAATTATCAAAGTTTGGGTTACCTTTGGACGATTTTTTACAAGGAACGCCTGATGAGAACTAACAAATAAAGGGAACATTCACTATGAAGGACGAAGAAGCTTGTTTGAAATAGAATATGGATAATTTACAGTATTATCGCGAACTAGAGGGAGAACAGCATGCTCTTGAAAGAAGTATTAAGAAGCGAACTGGTCGAATCGAGGAACTCTTACAAGACATCGCATCTTTAAAGGAGGTAGCGAGTTCTCTTGATATTTCTTTTATATTATTACTATGGAGGCATTTTCCATGTTTATTTTTGTTTTTATTTCTTTAGATCCTACACATGTACAGAACTAATAAGGAATGGCTTTCCAGTGGACAAAGGGTGGACGAAAAGTTCGTTCCCAATGCAGAAACGAAGAAATAACTAACGAGCATTAGCATATACATGGGAAAACTTCATAACTTCAAGACGCCGCACTCAAACTATAAATGTTTTTCCAGGTTATAATCAACATCTTACCCCATGTTGAATCAATACTGTGAATATCGTTAAAAAAGGGTGATAGGCACTTTAAAGACGCAACATTCAAATGAAGAAATATTTCACCATTCAATTATTCACTTTATGTAGAATCAATGGAGGCTTTGCACCATCACATGCCGGCACCCATAATACAGCTTGGACTGCCGGCGCTTGTGGTTAGATGGCAGAACAATAAAATCCCTTTGCTCTCGGGAATTGAATTCTTTTTCATGTAAAACGGTGGTATTGTTCTTCTCATCTAACATAGCTGCCGTCATGTGATGGTGCAAAGCCTCTATACTGAAAGTATTCATATCGGGGGTTAGGTGCACTTTAATAAAAACTAATTCTTCGTTTATACATTTTCAATGAATTCTTTCGTTATATCATCCAACATGGCCGCCGTGTCTTTTGTTACCTCACTCCCTTGGGAATGATTGAAAAGCAGCAATAGCAAACCTCGATCGCTCTTGTTTTCGCGCCAAATTTTGAGTCCCTACGATTATGCCTGTGGTTCATGTCAGGTTTTCTCTGTTCACACACGATCATAGCAAAATACTACGATTTTTGAGTCACAAATGGTTTTAAATATGTGGAAAACCGATTGCGTTTACAACGGTATTGAGGAGTCGGTATTGAGAACAAGACTTCAATGATTGTCATTTAAGTCAGAATTCCATTATATGGGATATACTAAGTAAGGCCGTCTTGACTAGCTGCTGTATCATCATACATGATGAGGGGCATTTGCTTTTTTGAACTAATTATACCCACCACCAAACTAAAATTGGTCGTGCGATGCAAAATATTAATACAAGATGTTGTCAAAGACATCAAGACTAAAATAGATTTTAATATTTTTCTATTTACAACAAATACCCTGTTGTTTGAAGCAAACCTGCCTCTTTTTAACAACACTCACGGACTCTTTTTACAGATTCGAACGTTATTTTGTATTAAATTTGTTTGTTTAGAAGAAACTGGAGTTGTTATGAATATGTCTAGAATAAGAAAATGTTTCTGTTATAAAACTACCAAAAATTAATATACCCGAGAAAAAGCACTAGTGAAACAATAGGTAACAAAGGTTATCACCGCATTAATTTTTTTTAGTTTTAATACTTTTTCACAGGGCTTACTTATTTCACTCTCTAATGCTGATTCAATTCAGGAGTTCACTTTTTATTCTGTAGAATATAGAAATGCATTGTAAAGTCCAAAACCCTTTACAAAGCTATGTGTACCGAAATAGTTCTTAAACATGACTTCACAATATCAGGCGGAGGCGTAGCGAGAGCACAAAGCTGGAGAAGCGAGCACACGCGTTTTTCGTGCGAAAACTCCCGCCAAATCCACAGGAAGTCCAACAAATTAGGCAACTTTACAGTTATTAGGGGTGGGGGTCGCGGTCGCTACACCTCTGAATTACCAGTAAACCAGAACGTAAACCTATAATGGCGGCCTTTAACACCATTTTACCCCCCCC